ATAGTATTCGAAAGGCACTGACTGGTTCAACCACGTGCCCACTATCAACAAGATGAACCACAACAGAGCTAGTTATAGCCCCAGTACCGCCTCGACGCAATCAGCGTGGAAGGTGCTGCTTAATGTGCTTCGACAGTTGCCGCGTCGTTCGACCTATGTAATTGGCGCCACAGGCACACGCGAACTGATAAATCACCATAGAAGCGGTCAGCGTCGGTAACTTGTCTTTGTTGTGAATACGAATGGGTGGCTCCGTGGAAAAGGTATACCTAAGTTTGGCTTCTGGGAAAGTTGAGTTGACAGCTGTTGAAAGGCTTCTAGTTACACGCTCAGCAGCGGCGTCTCGCTTAAAGGGTAGTGGTATGAAAAGTTCTTTTTCCTCTGCTGTCTGAAGCTGCAACTGCTCGGACTTATTTTGCATAATTCTGAAAAGGAAACGACCAGGATATCCGTTTTCGCGCAACAAATTCTGAATGAACGTCAACTCATTATTCAACTTGTCTTCAGAACAAATTCTGCGGGTCGTTGTGGTTAGACAGCGAATTAGGTTTCGCTTATATCTCAACGGAACGAAGCTGTGAAAGTTCATATACTGGCCACTCCAGGTTTTCTTCCTGTAGACCTGCCGTTGGATCGGACCGTCTGCCCTTCTAGTTAACAGCACATCAAGAAACGGCTACTGATCGTTCAATTCTTTTTCGTAGGTAAACTGCAATTATGCGTGGGCCCGATTAAAACGGTCAAAATAAGCGTCAAGTTCAACAGACTTGTCGGCCAAGACAAATATGTCTTCCATATAGCGGTGATAACATTCAAAGGCCGTGATCTCCGCGTGTAACTTGGTATTCTCTAATTTCGCCATGAAGACATCAGCTAACAGCGGACCCAATGGCGATCCCACAGCTACACCATCCTTTTGTCGGTAGTAAGTGCCATTGAATAGGAACTGTACGTTCCAAGTGCAACACAAAAGAAGGCTTTTCAAATCGCGCACCGGTATGCATTAAAATACTTTTGTTTCTTCTATGTAAGAGCAAAGGTATTCGTTCGTATCGAAAAGTGGCATGTTGGTGCAAAGCGATACGATATCCAAGGAAAACAGTACTTTCTTACCGATGTTGCGGTTTCTGATGTTTTCAATGAAATGGAAGGTGTGGCGAAGACTGTAGTGTGTAAGTCGTTGTCTTACTGGCTCTACAATTTCCACAAGCCGTTGGGCGATGGCATGATAGGGTGAGTTAAGCATTGCTAAGATCGGGCGAAGCGGGACATCTGTCTTATGAATTTTCGGTAACCCATAAAGCCTCGGGACATTCGTGCCATTCGGCTTCAGGCTATCATAAAGTGTATTTGATATATGTCCACTATCCCGAAGATCTTGCAAGCTTTTAATAATCTGGTTTTCAGTCCTCTCTGTTTGGTCATTTTCTCCAATCGTTCGACAAAATTTTGATTCACCACTCAGGACTTTTTCGAGCTTGTTTATACAGTCTTCTTTGTCTAATGGAACGACTCCGGTACCTTTGTCCAGTTTGCTCAGAACGAACTTATCATTGCGTCGTAAATCCTTCAGCGCGTCAAGGTGCTTGCGTGTCAGTGGACCGTGAGCTTGGACATGGCACTTGCGATACTGATAGCAGGTGTTCACTAGAGAACACTTAAAGCGCTCCAGGTCTTCATTTGACTTAGTTGCTAGTCCTTTTGTTTGGCCCACAGGCATTCAAACTGTAACTCATAGTGACGCTGATTGTCTTTGTGTTTGAGGGCGCGAAACTTTGGACCAAGTGATAGAACTTCCATTAAAGTGGAGTTCAATTTAATACTTGAAAAATTGTGCACATACCTCTCAGGTCTATTAGGGAAAGTAGATTGCGGCTTATGCTGATTCAAGGTCTTTGTTAGGGCCAAACGTCTTCGCCGTACACGGTTTGCAGTGATAGACTGAACGTAATCCAAGAATGTTTGTTTTACGTCCAACGCTGACTCGTCAATCACATGCTGGCGTTGCGCCTTATTGCGCTTGAATTCGGGAATCTTGGATTACACCTTGTCACGTTGGTTCAAAGTAGGACGTCTAAGCGTTTTGACATTCGGGTAGATCCGACTGCGGTGCAATTGCTTCCAGAACCTGCTAGGATATTCATTATCTTCAATGCAACCATCGAAGAATTGTACACAAGTTTTAGATTCGGCAAGCCTAGTGGAGAACTTAAGGAGCTGATTTAGCTCCTTCACCACTGAGGGCGGCTTGGACGATTTCAGTAACTGGAAAATTCCCATTTCATTATCAAGAACAAAAGCTCGAAGGTGCACCTACCACACTGGTTGCGTCGAGGCGGTACTGGGGCTATAACTAGCTCTGTTATGGCTCATCTTGTTGATACTGGGCATGAGATAGACCCAGTCAGTGCCTTTCGAATACTATACAGGGTCCCTCCACTCCAGTCGAAAGGCCTACGCGTCCGCACCCTTGCTACTGCCGAGGCGATCAGCATTCGGCTGTATCAACCGCTTTTGTGTGCACAAAAGAAGCTGCTCGAAGATGTTAAGCTACCTTGGCCAGCCAAAACGGATCCTTCTGAGAGCAACTGCAATTGTGCAACTGCACCTCTGTCCCAATTTGCTGTTTGTTACTGGTTCATGCTTTTGGTCGGCAGGTGATCAATCTCATTTGAACTGACCGTTACTCCACTTTTACGCCCATTGCTATTTCACTCATATGATTGTACGGGTCTGAAGATGAATCATCGAAAACAATTGTTTATCTTCGATCTTTTGTTCTTTATAATGAAATGGGAATTTTCCAGTTACTGAACTCTCATTTACAAAGGGGGTAGTCGTTCCGAACCAGCTGATTAATGACCAGTGACTCTATTGCCAGTTCTTTTAATAATTATGGAGGCTATTAGTGCCGACGCACTCATGTCTTATCTGGACGGCTTTGGTTACATTGCTCAGCAGCAACACGGTTTCCGCCAGAATCGGTCATGCACAACCAACCTATTGTTAGTACGAGACAGCTGGACCGAGACTGTGGACGCTAGTGCAGGAGTTGCTTTGGCATATGTTGATTTTCATAAGGCATTCGATCGGTTGGACTATCTTATTCTTCCAGGCAAACTTTAAGGCTGTGGCATTCGAGACCTTCTCCTTGGGTTGATCTGCAATTTCCTCTTGCACAGGCATCTGGAGGTGAGAGTACGTGAATCCATATCAGACTCAATTCACGGCGAATGCGGAGTGACACAGGGTTCGATATTGGGGCCCCGTTTATTCTTGGTCTACATAAACGATCTAGTGAGTCAAAGTGCGTCAAACTGTTTAATCTAAACCGAGGACATTAACGTTTGGCGAATGATCAGAGCTCCAGAAGACCGTATCCAGCTTCAAATCGACCTTGAAAAGATTTATGGATGGTCGGTCCAAAATCGCCTTTTCTTCAATGTGGCTAAATGCCGAGTGCTCCATTCAAGACACCGAATGGTTCACACATATAAGCTGGGGGACCAGGGGCTGCAACACTGTCGTCTCGAAAAGGTTCTCGGTGTACTGTTCCAGGAAGATCTCGGCTGCTCGGAACAGTCCAAAATGGCATCGAAGAAGGGGTTCAAAATCGTGGAGTTTTTACAACGAGCTTTCTGGCAATTCGAACAGTCGATTTTCCGCCAAATACTTCCCGCTTACCTACGCCCTCAAGTTGAAGATGCAATTAAAGCATAGCACTTATGGCTAAAGCGGGATCTTCCGGACTTGGAGCTTCCACAACGTCGGGCGACCAAAAATCTCCAGGGGCTGCGCCACTTGTCATACCAACTGCGCCTCAGAGTGCTTGGCATCTTCAGTGCTGAGCTAATCATGGTTTACCAAATATTAAACAACACTCATCACCGCTGCCACGACCTACTGAAGATGGATCACAACAGCCAACTGCGAGGTCATCATCTCAACTTGGCAAAACAATGCAGTCGGTTAGTGTCGAAGCAACTTTTTCTCGCTGAGGATTTGCCACACGTGGAATAGCCTCTCAGAAGCTGCTATTTCAGCCTCCACGTTAGCCGTGTTTAAAGCATGTGTCGACAGTGCACTAGCCGCACCACACCAAATCACGTAATCCAAACGACCCATAAAAACAGCAGGAAAACAAAAAAAACTCCTCTATTTTCGCCCGGAAACTAGAGACACTAACTTTGGATAGTACATAAAAAGGGCAAGAACGGTGTGATCATCAGGTTCGTGATTTGCAGTTGTTCACTATTTCCTATAGCCATTTTTGCCTTTATTTCGCCCACCCCTAACGGATCATCCGGTTAGACATGTGAAGCTTCGGCTTCATTTATCCGCAATATACCATTAACTATTTATCATAGTCAAAAGCCGACTTGGCGATGTACTAACACGTGTCTTTACATATCCATCGAGTGGCTATCCAAACGTAGAACTAACCTTTTAAGAGCTAGGTAGGATTACGATTGTGTCACTCATGGTGCAAAATACTTGGTAGGTTCGTCAGCGCGCGCTTTATTTGTCGTACACTATGCTTTCATTTTGCAATTTTCGTCTTAAACATCTAGTGTGTATTGTCAAGCATTTAAATATGTCCATTACATATCGTGGTTCTAGGCTTCCATAACAAAATGCATTAGTGTGAAATTTTGACCAAAATATTGCTTGGAACTTGCAGTTATTTTGCGAAAAGATTGCTTATCTGACTAGTTGTGTACTGTGGTGCATCATCCAAGAACAGATGTATTTGTCTATTCGCATGCACATATGTACGCATATAAACAGGTGGATGTTATCTTAATTTCCTTGTCAAAATGTCTACAAAACTAATTGTGCTTGTAGAGGAAATTTCCACGTATCATGTACTTAAGGCATTGGCGACCTAGGCTCATCCTTAGCTCTCATGCGACTGATCATGTTTACGTGGTAACCAAGAGTTGGTGCGATGTACCAGTTCAATGCTCTGGCTTTTCCTTTCTGATCGTTCTTCATATAAGGTGCACGAATTGTGTGAATATGTGGCCAGAATATGAACTGGCCGCACAGGAGTTGCTGCGAGAAGATCCCCCTATTAAGCTGACCAAAGTTAATGGCATGACGGAAAATTCACTGGCGGAGCAGTTCAGTGTGTCTACGTATCCAACTATCATTGTTATGGATGGGGAATTGGGGCATCGGTACAAGGGTGCCTATCGTGCCAAAGGTAAGCCATCGATGTCCCTCTGCTCCCGCGGTAATGAAGCCGGATTTAAAAATTAAAAATAGTGACGGCCATGGAATCCAAGTAGTTTTACGTAACACGAGTTTGCTATTATTATCCCTCTCTTTACACTTGACGCGCGATGTGTAAAATCCTCTATAAAACGCTAATATAGATTTTCCATATATGCACCCCGCACCCCAAATAAACCAATTTGCCTACAATGACAACAATTGGTCAGTTTGACAAACTAAACAAGTATCTGAATATTTCGTTGCTTACGTCTTGAAAAGGATGAAGTGGAGGACAGTTGGAGTTTCAGTCGTTAAACATCCCATTCCCATCTTGAATACTATGGTGCAAAAATACAAATAACTATGTAGATTAAGTGCTCTGATAAAATGTACATTATGATACTTTTAAAGTCGTTGTTGGTTCTATGACCAATAGGCTCCCCGGAAATGCATCCCAATTGTTGTACCGAATGTTAATCGTAAGACAAGCTATTTGAGAGCAAACGCGGTAAAAATGCCACCTCAATAACTAATTCTTTCTTCGTGCAGACATGATAGAGCACATGAAGAAGTTAACAAGCGCTGGATACGAGATTGTCAGCAGTACCGATGACATATCCTGGAAACGCACTGTGGACGACACAGTACTCTTGGCCCTTTGCTCTTCATTCAGTCATCCGAGAATGTATAAGTTCCGGCGTACTCGTGAGTTCGCCTATTTATTCAGTTAAATCCTTCACAGTAAAATTGTTCGATAAACAAGTAAGTTATTGTTTAATGATTTCGATAGCTGAGAAATTTCTGTCATTTGGACAGCACTTCGGTGGACTAAGCAAATATGGCCATGGCAGCTAAAAGGAGAGAACGAAACCTCACAAGGGTGTGAGCGCACCACAACATAATAATACTGTGCACTTGTGTTAGGTAACTAGGTTTTCAAGGGACGTTGATTTTTCTCCCAGTAATAAAACACCGTAAAGAAAACGAGGTGGTTTTATCGACTGGTTGGTGTTAGCGAAATATTCAGTAGAGCTGCTGCGAGTACTAGGCTATCCTTTGATCATCTTGCTCAGCCAACGTAAGCATTGCAAACATGAGTACACAATAGTGAGTTTGTTAGCTCAATGGATCGACCTTCTTTGTCTGGCGCGACTCTGTTTCAATCGCTTTTAAAAGTTGTGCTTGTGACCCAACAAATGGCCTGATTTGCAATAAATACAAAATGACAACTTAATGTCTCTTCAATAAACACATCGTTAAAGGATTGAATACTTCAGTTTGTAGCAGACAATGAATGTTTGTGAAAGCGCGCTTTGCGCACTTTGAGAGTGGTAACAAAGCTGCTGATTGAGCAGTTTGTCCACAGTTAACCCGCTTTTCAACTAGTGTTGATGTAAACACTAGCGATGCTATATGAGGACAGCACTGTGTTCACCTAATTTTAACTTTTAGTAAACGTGACCCCGGGGAAATTCCGACCGATGGCCTCTAATTCACAAACATTGAGACGCCATTTCGGCTCAGCAGACCGTGAATTTGCAGTGTTCCTACTGAAACCTCTTCGGTTTTCAATACCATCCGAGAAGACAGAAGTAGACGTAACGCAGGTGAGTTAAACACCATTTTGATTGATTGAATGCATGAGGTTATCGTATGTACTCCGTCACCGGGTGCGATAAAATGTTTCGTCTACTATGGATCTCCTCCATAACACCACAGTGAGATGAAGCCAAAATTTGGTGTCGTGAGTAGTGCATTTGAAATCGTCAGTAATTGCTAATGTTTGTAATTCACTCCTGAGTGGTTCGGGCCAGATGTAGAAAGTGGAGAATATTTAGGCTTAGGTTCCATGCAGTCTGGCGCCAGTTAACTTCATTAAACAGGGGAGCACTAATATGTATACTTCTAGCCAGGTTAATATCAGTAGCGTTATTGGTATTGTGTCCCAATTTGGTCAATTTGACCTATCTGTTATTACAAACATGGTGCCTAAATAAATCTATTGAAAGCAGCGGTAATTGCCAACAAGTGCCTAAATAAGGTGCTACATAGTTTACACAGGTCAAGGCAAACGATACTTCTTATGCAAAGCATTGAAATGAAATCCGTCTCCTCTTCTTTATTTCAACCGAATTCAGCTTTTCTTAAACGACACTCAGAATGAAGTGAAACTAGGTGAGCAACTGGCACGCGAGCAGCTCCCCTTGGTCAGCATCTACGGCAGAGACAGAGACGAGATGTACAGAGCGAATGATGATCGACTGCTGTGCGTGATACCCTATTCATTAAGTGCGTACAAAAAGCAAAACGAAGGTAAGTGCATAACACACCCCGCCACTTGAATAATTCTTCAATGTAAGGCCTGCAAAAGATCATCCATCACTAAGTTGGTATCTTAACTCATGAACATCTCAGTCGCATAATTCTATGCTCTGTTTTAATTGGATTTTTTTCTCCACATTTTGTGCCACCTTTTCGAAAACACGCTAAAATGATTCGAACCACAATGTTCCGCTCAACAGGATCAAGCTTCCTGAAGTAAACTCAAGGACACGCTGGTACTCTAAAAGGACGTTTTCGGTAGTTCATTCCTCAAGACCCACGTGTGCAACGCTGCCCTTTTCCAGTTCCTTTAGTGACTGAAATTTCGTTCAACAGAATTATTTTAGGCTAAGATACGAGACACGAGTTAACACTGTGCAACACTGCATAACGTAGCTACAAGCTGTTATGTCGTCCTATATTTACCGGTGCATTTTTTGTACGCCTTACCGCACAAGGCCTGCGTGATTTCGTCCACTTGTGCACCGGGTTACGCACCACCACCACCAAACCGGCTGGCACAACGACAGTTCTTGCTGAACGAAGTAAACACCTGATGCAGTTCAAAACGGTGTAACCAGATTGACCAGTGTATACGAATCACTGAGTGGGAATTCTATAGTGTACAGTAAACCCAAATTCAATCGTACCTCAGACAAGCTCTCAACAGAGATCATCGCAGAAATCACGTACTTGCTCAATGGCAATTTCTACAACGGAATAGACGTGAACATACTGTTCAAGAGAACGCACGGCGTAGAACAAACTGTTTGTTGTTCTGTGATGCATACTATGATATTCCATTAGTTAAGACTATTCAAACCTTTACGGAGAGGTGTGAAACGTTCCTTGTTTTGTCGGCAGAGCAAGAGGAATTGCTAGCGGTCTTGGGAGTGAAAATCTCTGAAATGGAGTAGCAGATTACCCCAATCTCAGCGTTGTCAAAAGATCAAATTTATCTCACAAAAATGCCACACCGCCCAGCAAAAGCGAACACCATTGGCCCCAAGCAGTAGTGAGGATGGGACGATTGAACGGCTTCCAAGTTTCACAAAGTGCACAATTTCGCGCTTATCACTACAGTGTCCGTTATTGACGGAGAAACTACACTTGGCCCCTGCAAACAGTACCAGTCTTGATGTAACATTGGCTTGTCTTGCGCACAAGACAAGCACACTCACAAGACAAACTGTAGCTCACAATTAACCGCAGCACACACAGTTGCTACATAACCAAACGGCAATGAGGGCGATATGTTTAAACTTCCCATAATCCCCTAGAGGATCGTAACAGGGTAGATAAGCAGAGGAGCAAAATCCTTGGGGTGAGATAGGCTGCGCAATCTTGCTGCACGTTTTCACGACTAGTCTTACAAGTCTATAACGAAACCCACCTTCTTCAGTTACTACGAATAATATTTGACAGAATACGGGACGTGGAATGGGTTCCCTTAGCAAGCCAACTTCTAGTGAGTTCTTCCGTCACTGACCGCACTTTTTCAGACCAGACATGGGCAAAAAGACAGAAGCTGACATCCCGTCCTGAGCGCATCACGTCAAAATAGTATGAAGAAATTGGTGCTGGTTCGTTGTCTGCCAGAATTGAGGCGTATCGATAAAAGTGAACGACAAAATCACGATACTAAAACTCGGAGACATAAACACAGCATCTTATAACATGTTAAACGTCGTGACTCAACCTCACCCGTCTAGCTGTTTTCCCAAGCTACGGCGGTACCTGGCCGAAAATTCTGAATATTACCTTGGCTACCCCTACAGGTATCAATGACAATTCAGAAAACAGAAAAGGTTGGCAGCCAGAAGTGCTGTTAAGATCATTCCTTCAAAGAATATATACCTTAGGTGCAAATAAGGCATATCCAGGTTGTTCCTACCTCAGATCAGCCAACCTTGTCCACACTCGTATCGAAAACAATAGCAGGCAGGCACTATTTGTTAACCATAAAATGCGACCCGAGTTCCCGATGCGGAAATAAATGTACTGCTAGCACACCAACGTTCAATGACTCTAATGTAAGAGACCAGAACTATGCCATCGACATGAAATGACAACTTGGGGCACCATAGTGTTGACTGAAATATGGCTGTCAAACGACATACTAGATCCGAAAACTGAACCAAGCAAAATCCCTGTCATGCGGAATAATCGATACTGTCGCGGTGGTGGTTTTGCTGACTACAACCGTGATTGCCTGGAATGTGAGGCCCTCACCCAAAATTCCCTTGTAATTCGGTTAGCAAACAATGATGGTATTTTGCTAAACTCCAATATACTGTTTCAGAAAGTGAGGGGTTTCAATTTATCTACAATAAGATCTGCGTCACCCGACTGGCCTTACTGCAAAACAAGACTACTTGAATTCATAAATATTGTAGTTTTTATAATCAAGTGCCTCGACCAACCAGACACCGAGGTTAAAATGTACCATTTCACCAAGCTCAGCACACCAATCAGCAGCTGAACAACCAACTCGGGTTGCAAGAGTTTTAGATTATCCCCATAGCTTCTGGATTTACTTTTGACTAATGAAGAGTTAAAGCTTGAGTCAGTGTTATAGGATCCTGCACTAGGTGGCGGAGATCATCCAGGCCTAAGAGTTGTATATATGCGTTAAGCCAATACTGTTGGGAACGAACGAGAGGCTCAAGCAAATATTAATGGCCACTCGGAGCTTCACAACTTACCGTCAATCTTTAACTGTGACCTCCAGATAAACAGCTCGGTGAACTACACATGGACCGAATTCAATTACAGATTTTACTTGGTCAAACAAGCAGCATCAAAGCCTGTGTTATCAAGAGTTTTGCACTTGACCAGCACCTGGATCTGAAGCAGCAGGCCTAAATGCATAAACAGAAGCGACAAACTCTAGAGTCAAAATGTGCTGGGCTCATGTGATACAACATAGGATAATTATAAAAACAATTGGGCACTACACAACGTTACTCATTGGGGCCGACAAGTAAGCATAGCAGGAGACTATGGTACTCAAGTTTGCGAGAAACACTAAACTGCTTTACAGATATTCGAATGTCTAAAGGACGATTAAGTTCCGAACACCACTATTCAAGACGCCCAGGAGCCTAAGGACTACTACACTAAACACCACGAATGTTCCTGCAATTCGGCTCAGAGGCTACGAACACCCTGTTGCATTCGCTTTTTCCCCTATCAGTAATTGTAGTCGGTATGTCTAGCATCATCTTTACCCTAACAGCTGTCTTAAGCAAATTACACTCTCCGAGACAACAGTACCGCGGGAATTCATAAGATCTGCCCAACCTTTCTTAAAACCCTTTCCCCAAACATAACGGCACATCCTGTAGCCAATTTCCATTGTATGCTTGATCCTCATCCACTTCCTTCTGAGCAGAAAAATGGCATAACCACCTACATATACTAAGCATGCAAGCAGTCGGATCCGGACAACCACCGACCTATTGCTCTAGCTCCCGTTTTATCAAGATGATACAAGCGACAATCACAGATGAACTGACGCGAAATTTTGACAGGTTGCGAATAATTTCCAATCTCCAATACGGTTTCAAACGTAGACGATCTCGTCTCACCAATTTGCTTTTTGCTCGTGATTCATGGACCAAGATGGTTAACGAAGGAGTTCCCATTAATGTGATGTACTTAAACGTATCTAAGGTATTCAACAGCGTCAATGAGTTATTTCTCTCTGGAAAGTTTGGTACGTTCGGTATCAATGGCTCACCGAGCACCTGGTTGGAAGGTCACATACACGACAGAACAATCCAGGTAAGAATCGCTGCCACATATTCGGAAAGCCTGTGCGTCATTAGGGATGTGCCGTAAGAATCGTTCCTCAAGCGCTACCGTGTTTAGTTTATTTCGATGACCTCCAGACGAATAGTCTACTCGCGATGCAAATATTTGCAGATGATGCCAGGATCTAGAGAGTGGTTCGCTCAACATACGACCATGCCTATTTCGGGAACCATCTGGAACGAATTTACGGATGGCAGACACGAACCAGCACCCCCATTATTCAATTGTTCTTTATTCTGAGTGATATCTTCGCTGGTAAATTTTGTTCACCTAAAATGCATGTGCTTGAAAAATCAACAAGCCAAATCGAGTGTTCGGGTGGCGAGTAGAAGCTAGTTGGAGTCCAAAGGCTGAGAGTGGGCTTTTTTCGGTGCTTGTCAACATAAATTCAAGCACGGTATCGTGAAAGAACGAACATGGACAATAGCGATGCCTTCTGTTCAGCTACCAGAAAAGTAGAATCTAGTTGGCATTGAGGTGGGAGGCTTCCCGTGAATTCTCTGTGTATTCCTGAACATGCAACACCCCAGGGGTTGGCTTATGAAAGTAGTCTTCGCATTAGTCGAAATGCATACAAGATGCAACACGGTGATATTGTTCCTAAGTGCGTATAAATAGACAAATGAAACACTCGCATATCTCGCCGACCAGTACCCTTAAGGTTCACAAGCTTGTCTTTTAACCCGAGAGCGCAGGTTCGAGCCTGCGTAGGGACCGGGCGACTCTAGCGGTATCCTTAGCCCGAGTGCGACTGGTGGTGGTTGCGCGGTAACGAAGCATCGCTACTGCTACCGGCGTACTGCTGAAGCCTCTTTTCGGTTAAAAATGCGAGCGCTTAACAGCTCCGGTATGATGTTTAAGATGCAAATATTACAATTAACGAGGAGTGTCGCAATAAAACAATACGCATGGGTGAAATCAACGAGATGTCCACATGACAAACACCTCCTCTGTTGTTCTGCACCTAGGCTCATTATCAGATACCGTTCACAATGCCTTGTCTCGTCTCATCCATTGTGTCCGTTGGTAATTCGCCACTATTCCCTTTTGTTATGTTCGGTTCACGAGTAGTTGTTGGATTCCTTCGCTCTTTTGTTTTTCCCTTCGTACCATGGTCGCTGAGGTCTCCACGAACCGTTTGAACGTAGTGTGCTGGTGCGTCATCCTGATAACAC